CAGTGGTTTTCAGGCTAACTAGCAATCTCCTAGAACAGCTATGACATTCTGTTTTAAGTGGTACATTTGGTAACACATCTACTAATTTTAAGTTTGACAAAATAAGTCAATATTGGATAATTATTTCCAAAGTTGTTAGCACTGCTATTAAAGTGATCTGGTGCATACAATATAGTGGGGAATATTTTTGACAATTAAATTACCTTAAAGGTCACTTTTTAAAGATCATATACACTACATTTTGTTTAGGTTCTTGTAGGTTTTTTCGGGCTATAGGGCCATGTTCTAGAGGCATTTCTCCTGACGTTTCGCCTGCATCTATGGCAAGCATCCTCAGAGGTAGTGAGGTATGCTTCACCTCACTACCTCTGAGGATGCTTGCCATAGATGCAGGCGAAACGTCAGGAGAAATGCCTCTAGAACATGGCCCTATAGCCCGAAAAAACCTACAAGAACCTAGTGATTCCAGCCATGAAAGCCTTCGACAATACATTTTGTTTCCTTAGATGCAATCAATTTGGCACAGACACCTGATTTTGATGTTCCAAAAGGCTGTTAAAACTAAATAAGTAGCATTATTCTATCTTGTTTATTTAATGTCTTTCATTTCTGTTTATCTTTCCACTTTGGCAACGGATTGTCATTTATTTAAGATAATATGTCACCTTTTACACAAGCAGTTTATGCAACTCTATTATTCTGTTACAGATATGTGTTTTCATTCATTTATGTTATCTCATATCATATCTCATTTTTGTTTCCGCTTAGCTTTGCTTTCTAAATCAAATTTAAATCTGATAAAAATGTCTTTCTTCTGTGTACTCAGGTTATGCCATTTTCTGAGCATAAGAAGTGCCTAGCCAGACCATGCCAAAGACCTATCCGCTCCAGCCCTCCAGCTCCAGCTCCAGCCCATTCTGTTTCAACACAGATTGTTCTTCAACCAGTGACTTATAGGAACTCCACAAAAAGTGTTACTGCAACAGCACTGCCAATCTACATTTGTACTCCCCAGAAACCAATAGAAGGAACTATCCAAGGTTTTGGACTCTGTCGTCCAAGCTTCAGGTATCTTCAAGGAGGTTGAATTGTGCTGAACCCTATTTCTAAAAATTATGTCCATGGTGGTGCAAAGAGCCATGGCGGCATGATGGGTTAAACCCTTGTGCTGCTGAACTGCTGACCTGAAGGTTGACTGAACTGCAGCTCAATCCACAAGATGGGGTGAGCTCCTGTTTGTCAGCTCCAGTTCCTGCCAACCTTACAGTTCAAAACATGTAATGTGTGAGTAGGTATAAGGCAAAGAGATGCTCCAAGCAATTTTGCTGGCCACACAATCAGGAGATGACAACGCAGGCTCCTCAGCTTGAAAATGGAGGAAAGCATCTCCCAGAGTCCGAGATGAGCATCACCTCCAGAAGCCGGAAATGAAAAGGAGAAGCCACTGCCTTTGTTTGCGTCTGTGTGTCTCATTGTATATAATTGTACAAGCATTGAATGTTTGCCTATTTATGGAAAATTCAGTAATCTGCTCTGAATCCCTTAGGGGAGAAGGGGAGAATAAAAATAACTTCTTCTTCTTCTTCTTCTTCTTCTTCTTATTATTATTATTATTATTATTATTATGACCAAAACTGAACTCCCACTAGAAATCAAATTGACTATGAGTATTTTGGGAGATGTTGTGAGATAACATGATTTATTGAAAAACAATGCTTGACAAAAAGGAAAGTCGTAAACAAAAAAGGAAGATCTCAAAACAGGTGGATGAACTTAATCAAAGACTCCATAATTGTGAGTTTGCAAAACCCGAGCAGAGCAAAAGATGACCTCAACCTCTGGAGTTATTTAATTCATAGAGTGACCATTAATTGAAGCCAACATCACAATAAAGAGGAACTATGGAGGTTCTAAGTTTGCAGCATCTCAATTGCTGTTACTTCAGGATCAACCAGAGACCAGGAATAGCCCTTAGTGATATCACAGGAACTAGAACCCAGTGATATATTAAGCAGATTGGACTGTGTTTAGAATAGTTTCCCAAGCTCTGTACTGAATATATGGGGAAATACACCATAGGCATTCCTAAGCTTGTTTTCAGCACATTTGAAAACACATTGTTAACAACAAATGAGAGTTGTAGTCTAGAAAAAGAATACTGCTCCATTTCGCTGTGAAGAAGGAAAACACAAACCTTTTCACCTTGACTGAATGCTATACTATACTGACTGCAGAGCTATACACTTTACATTTTAATCAATTAGCTAGACCTATTTTAATCTTGTTTTCAAGCCTAGTTATCACAGAGAGGCAGCTTTGGTTACTTTGGTGAATGATTTTTACCAGGAACTGAACAAAGGATTGTTGGGTCTACTGGATCTCTCAGGCTGAATATACACTGCCTTATATATCCTAAGATCTGATCCCAGATTAGCTTCTTTTCCCAGATTATCTGGCAGTATAGACTCATATAATCCAGTTCAAAGCAGATAATCTGGGATCAGATCTTGGGATATAGGGCAGTGTATATCCAGCTTCAGTGGCTTTCAATGCCATCAACCATGGTATCCTTCTGGGCCGCTTTTCTGGTTTGCAACATGGAGATTCTACTGTATAGAAGGTGGTGCTCAAGGTCAGAGGCGGTCCTAGGTAATTTTCAATGGTAAGCAAACAGTATTTTGGTGCCCCCCCCCCCCAACCAATCACTGATATATATTTTCTGTTCATCGTGGGAGTTCTGTGTGCCATATTTGGTTCAATTCCATCATTGGTGGAGTTCAGAATGCTCTTTGATTGTAGGTGAACTATACATCTCAGTAACTACAACTCGCATATGTCAAGGTCTATTTTCCCCCAAGAGCGCCTCAAGAGTGCCCCTGGGCAAAATCAACTATACTGCAAATGCTTACTTTGCGTAATGGGTTGAGCCGCCCCTGCTCAAGGTATCCTACTCAGCCATTGGCCTTTAGAGTCCCTCAGGTTCAGTTTTGTCCCTTATGTTATTTAACAAATATATTAAATTTCTGAAAAAAATATTCCTAGAGCCTGGTTCTAGTAGTACATGTATAACATCCATTACAAAATAAGATGTTTCTTCCTCACATTCAGTAATGGACTGAATGGGAGTGAAAAATGATATTTAATCCATATAACAGGTATGCTACTGTTGTGTCAAAAGGCAGATCAACGTGTACTAGATGGGATTACAATATCTCTGATGATGCAGGTCCACAACATGGGTGTGCTCCTGGATTCATTCCTTGAACTTATTTTTCAGTGTTGACCAGGGGTGCATTTAATAGTTAAGGCTTGTCCAACTTCCTCCAATTGCTGCAGAGTTCAAAGTGCAAAAATAATTTGCACTAATTTAACTCAGGGGAGATAAGAGAACAGGCAGAAACTTGACCTTCTCAGGAGTCTTAGGGGAAAACCCAACTGTTCCAGCCTCTCTTAATTTATGTGTTCTTTCAAATTAATCCTGTTTGCCATTTAGACCACACTGTGAAATTGTCTGGCCACGTGTCCCAGATTTCATCTGTTAAATGTTGGATGATATAAAGTATCTGTCTTACTTCCTCTTCTAAATCCCTTTCAGCCACAGCAGTCTCCTCTCCACAAAGCTATTACTACAATGTTGGAGAGCAGATATGTACAGAAGAGCACCTGGCTTTTTGGTTTTTTTTTAGATCTCAGACGCAGAGCACTGAAGGTGATATGATTACTGTGTATCTGGCAACAGGAACAGAGCTACACGTTTCTTTGCCTGCCACCAGCTAGGCAGTCGATGTGGCATTATGTTCCATATTCGGGTGTAGTTGTAGGCCTTCCCAAGATTGAGCACTGAAATCGTTGCTATAAGATAATGTTTTTGGTGGTAAATGATGCAGCAGATGTTTAACAACTTCTGACTCACAACTATAATAGTCTTGTTACAAGTGGAAAACAATTTGCCCTTATTGGTGTCAAAAAATAAAACTTTTTAAGTGGATATACAGGGGCCTTTGGAGTCACAACAATGGCTTTCTCCAACTCCAGGACTGACCTTTTTGTACAGGCTGAGCATCCCTTATCTGGAACTCCAGAATTCAAAGACTCCAAAATCTTTCCTTGCTTTTGTTTGAAAATTTAAAATAAATAT